GGAAAATGGGGGACTTTATGTCCATTCATTGATTATTGAATAAACAAAGTGGTCTATCTGTGCAGTGGAGGGGGATTTTAGCCATATAAAAACATAAAGTAGTGGTGCCTTCTACACCATGGATGGATTGTGAAGACATTTTTCTACCTGAACGAAGCCAGTCACAAAGCAGTATGCATTCGTTGTATGACTCCATGTGTAGGAAAAGCACAGACTAGGCAAACCCCAAGAACCAAAACTGAGATTGGTGGTCGAGGAGGCTGCTGGTGTTGAAGATAATGATGATGATTCCTGATGGTTATCTCTATTTTGGGGGGAGATGTTGAAAAGTTCCTGGAATTTGTAGTGATGTTGTTTGCAAATGAATATACTTTATGAACATACTCAAAAGCCCCCAAATTTTACATTTTAGAGAGTAATATTCATGGTATGTTAATTTTGTCTCTAAATGAGTGAACAGAGTCCCCTCAATCTTAATTGACCTTGTTTCAAAAAGTATCTCTGCCACTTCAACATACCCTGCTTTTTATTTTTTAATTTATTTTTATTTAAGAATAGTTGGTATACAATCTTATATTGGTTATATTAGTTTCAGGTGCACAGTATAGATATTCAGCATATTTATACCTTGTAATGTGATCACTCCACTGATTCTAGTAATCATCTGTCACTGTGTAAACTTATCACAGTAGTATTGGCTGTACTCCCCTTCTCCTTGCACCTATTCCCCCACCCCTGCCCTACCCAATAACCATCCTTTTGGTCGATGTTTCTATGAGTTTGTTTTTGTTTTTTTAGATTCCACATAAGGTATTGGTCCTTCTCTGCCTGAATTATTTCACTTAGTGTAACACACACTAGGTCCATCTATGTTGTTGCAAATGGCAAGATTTTGTCCTTTTCTATTGATGCATAATATTACAGTGTGTGTGTGTGTGTGTGTGTCTGTCTGTCTTCTTTATCCATTCATCTTTTGATGGAAACCTACACTGCTTCCATACCATGGCTATTGTAAATAATGCTGCAATGAGCATCGATTTTTGAGGAATCTCCATACTGTTTTCCATGCAGGCTGAACTAGTGTGCAGTCCCACCAACAGTGCACAAGTGCTCCCTTTTCTTCACACCCTCTCCAACAGGTTATTTGTTGACTTTTTGATGATAGCCTTTCTAACTGGTGTTAAGTGGTATCTCATTGTGGTTTTGATTTGCATTTTTGTGATGATTGGTTATGTTGAGCATCTTTACATATGTCTGTTGGCCATCTGTGTATCTTCTTTGGAGATAGGTATATTTGAGTCCTCTGCCCAGTGTTGGATTGGATTGTTCTTTGTTGTTGTTATTGACTTGTACAAGTTTCTTATAGATTTTGAATATCAACCCTTCATCAGATATATTGTTAGCAAATATATCCTACCATTGAGTTAGTTTTCCTTTCTCTTGTTGAAGGTTCCCTTCACAGGGCAGAAGCCTCTGAGTTCGATGATGTCCTGTTTATTTATCTTTGCTTCTGTTTTTCTTAGTGAGGGGACTTATCAAATGAGATATTACTCAGAGTGTCCTGACTGGTGTGGCTCTGTAGATTGGGCATCGTCCTGCAAAGCCAAGAGTTGCCGGTTCGATTCTGGGTCAGGGCACATGCCTGGGTTTCAGGTTTGATCCCTTCCTTTCCCCCTCCTTTCCCTTCCTGCTAAAAATAAATACATAAATAAAATCTTTAAAAAAACTTATTATTCAGACTGATATCAAAGAGTTTACTTCCTACATTTTCTTATAGGAGAATAATGTTTTCAGGACTTATTTTTTAGTCTTTAATGTGTTCATTTTTGTATATGGTGTAAGAGGTTAGTTCATTATCTTTTTTGCATGTAGCTGTCCAATTTTCCCAGCACCAGTAATTGAAGAGACTGTCATTAATCCAGTTTCTGTTTTTACCTCCTATGTCATAGATTAGTTGACCAAATAAGCTACGGCTTATTTCAGGGCTCTCTATTCTGTTCCATAAATCTCTGGGTCTGTTTTTGTGCTAGTACCATATATTTGGATTATTGTAGCTTTGCACTAAAATCTGAGATCAGGGAATGTTATAATTCCCACTTTCTTCTTCTTTTTTAAAATTTTTATTTATTTTTAGACAGAGAGGAAGGATGGGAGAAAGAGAGGAAAAGAGACATCAATGTGTGGTTGCCTCCCATGTGGCCCCTACTGGGGACCTGGCCCACAACCCAGGCATGTGCCCTGATTGGGAATCAGGGCTGGGGACCCTTTGGTTTGAAGCCCATGCTCAATCCACTGAGCTACACCAGCCAGGGCCCACTTTGTTCTTCTTTGTCAAGATTGCTTTAGCTAGTCAGGGTCTTTTCTTGGCTTCCTATGAACTTTAGGATTGTTTGGTTTAGGTCTGGGAAGAATGACATTGGTACTTTGATAGGAATTTCCTTGAATCTGTAAAGTAGTTTGGGTAGTATGATCATTTCAACAATATTAATCCTTCCAATCTTTATCCTTCCATTTACTTGTATCCTCTTTCTTCAATCCTAATTTCTTGTATCCTAATTTCTTACTTCAGTGTCTTAACAGTTTTTAGAGTACAGGTCCTTCACCTCCTTGGTTAAGTTTTTTCCTAGGTATTTTACTCTTTTTGATGCAATTCAACATATCCTGCTTTAACTGAAAAATTCCCCTTTCTTCCAGATCATCCGACAATAACTTATAGGTGATTTAGACCCTTCTCAGAAGACTTGCCTGGCCTGTTAATAGAAAGTCTGCAGCTGCAGGAGCTCACAGTTTCTGCATGTAACTTTTGTTACATAGTCCTATCATTAGACCATATATTTGTTTGTCTCAGATACCAAAGATTGACTGTGAGCCAGCTACCTTCAGGGTCTTTACAGTGTCTGCATGTCCTGGTGAGAGCCCAGTACATGTCTTTCTGGTTCAACCTGAGAATTTTATGCATCTGCTATTTGTGCATTGATACCCTTAGAGGCTCATCCCTTTTCAGGAAATATACTGGGCTGGGTGTTATTGTATTACCAAAGTTCAGTGAACTCAGTATTGAAGCTATTGGGGAAAACAAAAACAAAAAAGTATCATGTCCTCAGTAAAATCTGAAACACCTGTGCCTACTGAACAGTAGGTAAATTCACCCAACCAGAACTCATGGAAACCTTGATTTCTAGCCAGTCACTCACAGGGCTTTTGCCCATCCAGGCATCAGAACTTTGTAACTGATCTGTAGGAATTATCAGCATGGACAATTTTGAGAGTCATATGCCAGCACAAAAAAAATGACATCCATAGTTCATGACTAATAAAATAGTGTTACTCTCCCAGGCAGAAAATATGGTCTAAGAGTGATACAAATATGGCTCAGTCCCTGGCTGGTGTGCCTCAGTGGATTGAGTGTTGCCCTGTGAACCAAAGGGTTGCATGTTCAATTCCCAGTCAGAGCATATGCCTGGGTTGAGGGCCAGGTCCCCAGTGGGGTTGCACAAGAGGTGACCACAAAAAAAAGGAGATAACCTCTATAAAACACTTAGGCAAAGACCTCATCAACAGTTTTTAGTCAAAATTAACCTCAATGCCCGTGCAATTGCTATTTACTCCACTCGGAGGCCTCTTCCTCCAGGTTTTTTTGGTGGTTTTTTGTTGCTGTTGTTTTTGTATTGGGGGGGGAGGGAGGAAGAGAGGGAGAGAAACATCAATGTTTGGTTGTCTCTTGCCTGCCCCCTACTGGAGACCTGGTCCACAACCCAGGCATGTGTACTGACTGGGAATCCAACCAGTGACCCTTGCGTTCACAGGCCCACACTCAATCCATTGAGCTACACCAGACAGGGCTCTTCCTTTAGCTTTTTAATGGCTATATCCTTCCCATAGTTCCTCAGATTTCACCTCAAATGTAACTTCCTTAGGGTTGCTTTCCCGGGCCAAATTCTATGAAAAACTTGTCTTCTTCTACTATGAAACACTCTATCACACACTCCTGGTGTAATTTCTTCATGTCCCTGGCTATTAGCTAAAAAGTCTTATTTACAAATGTATAGTATGTCTCTCTCCACTTAAATATTAGCTCCTTGAAGGAAAAGATTTTGTTGCTGTTTTTATGCTTTGCTCCCAGCACCTACAACAATGCCTGGCAGATAATTCTTGCCCAATAAATACTTGAAGTATTGAATCAGGAAAGGGTTATATACAGGGAAATTCAAGGCCACCTATGGAGAGGATTGGGGGTTTCAAGATGACTGAGACCAAATTATAATATTTTACTTCCCCACTTGCTTCTTTCTTAAAAGTATTCATTCTTACACCTGATAATATTATACAGCTGGCTGTAAAGAGAAGGGGTACTGCTCAGTAGAGCTGAGATCCAGTCCTAGCTAGGGTTCTTGTGATATGGTCTTGTGATCTGGTTTTGTGATCTGCTCACAGGGCACAGACCATGGCAACGATTTGTAGGAGAAATCATCCAGTAACTTGGAGTTAATTCCCTGGTGTACGTGAGATGCAGTTTGTAGTGATATGTTGTTCCTCAAGCTATGAAAACTCTGTAAAGGACAGTGGAAGGTGGTGTGAAAAGGAGGGCCCTTTGGATGGGCCTTCTCTACAGAATCAGCATGGCAGTCTAGCGCACCAGCCCTCCAGTTCTCCACACCACCCCCCCCAGGGAAGCAGCGCCTTCCAATTTTCACAGGCCCTGTGGCTTGCCAGCCAGTGGCATGGAAAGGAGAGCTTGCTAGAGGAGCTGGTGCCCTGGGCGAGGCTGTAACTGCTGCAGCAACTATGTGGCTCGCAGGAAGAGGCTTGGATAGGATAAGGGCGGAGCTAGGCTGGTGAGAGGGTGGAGCTGTTCTTAGACAAAGAGGAGGAGCAGTGGCTGCTGCAGCTGAGGCCAGAGGAAACCAGCCAGGGAGCAGACCCAGGGCTGGGATTCAGGGAACCCTGGCCTCACGCCCACCTGCCAGCCGCTGGTGCTCCAGTGGTGGCGAGGTCTGCATCTGCAAGGCCCATGGCGGCATCCACAGCTCTGTCAGCAGTGGCGGCGGTGGCAACGCTGTCTGGCCTGGCACTGCGACTGTCCCGCTCTGCAGCAGCCCGTGGCTCTTACTGTGCCTTCTGCAAGGGGCTCACGCGCACGCTGCTCACCTTCTTTGATCTGGCCTGGCGGCTGCGCATGAACTTCCCCTATTTCTACATCGTGGCCTCGGTGATGCTCAACGTCCGCCTGCAGATGCGGATCGAGTGAGCGCCTGTGGCCACAGTGACCCACAGGAGGGTCCTGCGCCAACCAGCCCTCCCGTGCGTCCACCCGCCCACAAGGAGGACAGTGCAGCCGCCCAGATCCCCCGGAGGCGGTATGGAAAGGAGGCGGGGCGGCCCAGACCTCTAGACCCTAGCGCTCCAGAGAGGACGCTGGCCACTGAGCCACCCAGGCCACCGAACACCAGACCCACGCGTGACCTGCAGCGCACCCCTCGCGACCAGTGCTGGATTGCACAAAAACCTCAGAAAACGGAGCCGTGACTTTGGGTTTGAGGACATGATCTGAGTACAGCCGACCCGTTGCCTCACGTTGGCAAAAGAGGGAAACCAGAAAGAAGAAATGCTGCTGCTGCAGGGACCCTGCTTTGACCAGCCTGACCTATAAAGGTAGGCTGCCAGAGAGAGGTTGGCCCTGCGGGCTGGAGGAGGCAGTTGCCATAATATTTAGACATCGAGGCCCCTTGGGGCTGTGGATGAAACATAGAAGGGGCCTGAGACTGCGCCCAGAGAGCTGCGGAGTCCAGCAGAGGCAGGCAGGGCAGCCTCGGGATCTTCAGAGTCCCTTGTCATGATTCCAGACTGGGGGTGAGGGGCAGCTGTAGCTTAGACATGGCTCCAATCAGCAGCTCAGCCCATCTCCCATAGAGACCCGACTGTCCCCTCCCACTCACCGCCCAGTTCCAGGTCCCCTTTCCCCAGAGGCACAGCAGGTGTCACCAGAGCCAGAGGAAATGGAGGGGAATGGGCTACGGTAGGCCACGGAGAGGCCCTAGAGGAGAAAAGATGCTGCCACACTTCTCCTCCACCCTCCTGGGTAGGCAGCCTGAACCCCCAGGGGTGTCCCCTTCTCAGCCCTCAGGCCACGGGCTCTCTGCAGCTCCCTGCACTGTGTCTTCAGGGCCAGGGGGCTGCTGTCTGCCTCCAGAAAGGCTATCGCTGCCACTTTTGTTCTGCTCCTTCCTCTCTGAGGATGCGGTTGTGGAAGCGTGGAAAGGTGCCTTTCTCCCCAGCCCCCGCCCTCCACGGTTTTGCTCTTCTGCCACCCACAGCCCTCCTTGTGCCACAGAATGCCATCCTGTGGCACAGACGACTTCCAGGAGTGTGCTGTGAACCCCAAGGTTCTGGGAAGTGGGGATTTCCTTGAGCAGAGGGCAGTTCTCAGGGTGGGGTGGGGGGAGAAGATGGAGATGGGGCTTGTAAAGGAGACAACACCAGGACAGCAGGGGACTTCTCTGGGTGGGGAGGCAACTCTCAGGTTTCCATTTTTTTTCCTTCAGAAATTGGTGTTTGAAGCTGGTGACTCGCCTCCTTCTCTGGCCTCCTCAAGAGTCCAACCTGTGCCCAAGGGCCCACCTGGCCCTAGAACTTCCTGGTAGCAGCTGAGTAGCCTGGCTGAGGAGGAGATGAAAGGCCTTCCAGGCAGAGGCCCCAAGAGGTGGGGTAACCCAGTGGTGTGGCTGTGGCGTGGGAGAAGGACCATGTCACCTGGGCACTGAGATCTCCTACCAACACCATGAGGGAGTTCTACTCTCTACTTAGGGACAGTGGAACCTGGGGTCCTGGGGGTGGGGGTGGGCGAGATTTGCCTTTGTCACACAGATAAGAAAGAAGTGGTGAAGCTAAGTCTTCCTTAGTTTGCACTGCCCCACCCACTCCCCAGTCTTCTGGAAGACCTGGCATGGTGGGATGGGGCAGGGGAATCACAGGGCTCCCAGGGGACCTAGGGAGAGAGAGGTTCAGGGTAGGGAAAATGTGGGCAACCAGCTTTCCTTGGGGAGGTCTTGGGAATCACAGGGAAGACCAGGAGGATAGTCTAAGCTGAGGCAGGCAAAAGAGAGATGAATCCCAGGATCCCCTGGGTAGCTGAGGTCCTCACCCACAGAGCCAGGTCTTCCCACCCCCCCCACCCCAGGCTTGACCAAGGGCTCCTTAGCAGTTGGACACAACCCTCTGGGCTTGGCTGGGGGAGCAGGGGGTGGCTCCTGGGGACATGCTGTGACCAGGAAGGTAAAAAGATAAACTGGGGGTGGGAGGGGAATGGCAGCCACACAGGACCCCATCTCTCTGTCCCCAGGCTCAGCTCCCCGATGCCCCGGATCAGACGGGAGAGGACTCTAGATGGGCTTGGATTGGTCCTGGAGGCCTGGGGTGCGTACACTACTGACTGGTGTTCCAGCACGGGCAGGAGCAGCCCAGAGGGGAGCCAGGAGAGACCACGGCCCTCACCACCCGCCCCCAGTCCCACATCTGCTGTGACACTGGTTGCTCTGGGCCCAAGTACTCAGAGATCTTGGGACTAAAAACCCACAGCAGTGTGGTCAGCCCCAGGCCCCGACTGGCCCAATCTCACCACATCTGCCCCACTCAGCTGCCCAGCTGGAGTCTGGGTCCTGGGTGAATTACTCCTGGTCACCCCGGGGACTGGGGACTGAGGCTGGACCAAGGCTCCCACATGCCCCCAGCAGTTCCTCACGGACAGGGCCTGACGGCTTCCTTCCTTGTGCCAAGTCTCCTGGGAGTCCCTATTCCTGGCGACCCCTCCTCCATTCCAACCCTGGCCACCCAGGACCACTTGTGGGAGCCTGCCAGCCTGCTGGCTCCATCCATAGATCTCCCAGGACAGCCTCAGAGAAAGCAGAGCAACAGGGGTTGTAAAAGCTGGGAGGAGGAGCAGGGGCCTTCTTGGGGATGATACACAGATGGGCTCCTTTCGAGCCCAGGTCTCACCCCGGTGAAATCCTCTGGGTGAGTGGATCCCCAGCTGCATCCTCTTGCTGGGCCAGCCAGGGAGGAGGAAGGCCTGAGAATGGCATGAGGGAGGCTGTTCCCTGAGTGTGTGCTTGTGTCCCACGGGGGAGAAATGTCTGTCTGGGCCTCAAGGGCCCCTGGCCTCAGAGACCGGCTCCCCACTTGGAGGCTCTGTGGCTCTGCCTTTGGCTGTCTCTGCTCTAAGGGAATGGCTGGGGGAGGGGCCAGGGACTGGTCCTTGCCTGTGTTCCCGCCATGGCTTTTCTTGCCATTTTGGCCTTGAGTAGTGAGCTGCTTCTCCTTTCCCACCGCTCCCCAACCCCACCGGGCCCTGGCTGCTCGGCGGGTTTTCAGTGTACTTTATTTCTTTGCAGTCTGTTTTCCAGGCCACGGAACTTCCACAAAATCAGGGACACCAACCTGAATGAGATGGCTTTCAATTTTCCACGTGTGTTGGTTAACTCTGTCCTGGTGTTCTTTCCGGTGTCAAATCTCATAGTCTCTCTAAGTTAGAAAAGAAAAGAAAAGAAAAGAAAAGGAAAGGAAAGGAAAGGAAAGGAAAGGAAAGGAAAGGAAAGGAAAGGCCTCGTATTCAATAAAATAAATAAAACTGGGGGCCTCCTGTTCCTGCTGTGGTGCAATAGCCTCGGAGGACAGAGGGGCCACAGGTGAGATCACTACTTAAGACCGGGAGCTGGGGGAGGGGAGCACACTCAGAGGGCTGTGAGTGACTCCGGCCTCTTCAGGAGGTGCTTGGAGATGCCACTTGACCTGGACCACTGCCTTCCCCTGGCCCCGGGTGGGGGGGGGAGAAAGGCAGCAGCAGCAGAGGAGGCCTGGCCCCACAGGTGGCAACTGTCCCACTCACAGCCTTCGTTGGAATAACCCAATACCTAGGTCTTATCTTCATTTTAGAGCCGGGTATTGGAAAGTGCTTGATTCGTTTGAATCCCAAGGGTAGGCTGGGGGAAGTGAGGAGAAATAGTCTGTCCACACATCATTTCCTTGCACCAGAGGCCTCTGCAGCAGCAGGTGGCAAGGTCCCCATTGCCTCTCTGCTGGCCAGGTGGTGCAGAGTTTGGGGGAAGATCAACTGCAGGGACAGAAGCTTACCATTCCCCCGACCTTAGCCCTAACTGTGCCATCAGAGCTCCAGTCCTGGTGCCTCCCAGAGAAGCCAGGCCAGTGGTTCTGAGGCTGCTGCAGGGGTGAGGGTGGCATGTGGGCAGAGGGTGAGTGAGGGAGGACTAGGGAGAAGTGCAGTGGCCAGGATAGAGCAAAGCAGGACCAAGGCCACCGTAGGGAGCCATCCTCAGGACACAGAATTGTGCTCACACTGAGGAGCAAAGCCTGGGTATACTCCCCACCTGTCACCAAGAGCTCCCCAGGGGTCAAAGCACCCTGGCCAAAGAGACCCAACATCTGCCACCACAGGAGGGATGAGCCCAAGTCCCTGCCAGTGCCCTGCGCTTCCCTCCCCTCTGTCCAGATGGCCCTGTTCAGTCCCTGATGGTCTCACGCCCACTGCAGGGATTCTGTAACCTGGCACAACCAAGACGGGAGAGGGTCAGACCAGAGCTCCAAGTCCCTCTGATGAGGGAGGACCACCCTTTCCAGCTAGGGAGGAAGGCAGGCAGGCAGGCAGGCAGGCAGGCAGGCAGGCATGCCCTATCCTCCCTAAGACCCGCCCCCTGAGCCCAGCTCCTCCACCAACTACTGTGTGGCCAGGCCAGCCATGGGCACTCATGGGAGCCTTTGGGGACAGGGGTGGGGGGGTTGTGAGCATTCAAGGTGACGAGGTCTGTACAACACTGGTGTTCAGACCTTATCACTCTAAGGAGAGAACACCAAATGAGGGGAACGGACATGCAGCAGGAGCCTGTGGAGCTCCAGACACTGCGCTGGTTGGTTTGCTGCCATCATCTCATCACAATCCCCAGCCACCTGTTGAAGGAAGTCAGTGAGAGGATGTGACCACCAGTTAACCCTTGAGCTGGACCTGAGTGATCGGAGCTTCTTACTCACACCCCTGCCCTCGGAATGTAGATTCCGCCCACCATTCCCATAGCCAGAGCCTTTTCAAGGACAGAGCCTTGGGAGAATAAGGTATGGAGACCATCATCTGGACAGTAGAGTGACTGAACCGAGTCAAGGCCTCTACACAAACTTTAAGATTCCTGCAGCCACCCAAGACAAGCCTTGGTTGTAAGTCCCCTAGCTTATTAAAGCTGCCTT